TTGTAGGTCAAAACCAGCACTTTGAATTGTGCTCAGAATTGGATCGGCAGCCAGTGGAGCTGACATAACGGGGGTGGTATGCTCCCTGTATGCCGCTCGGGTGAGCAATCTGGCTGCCTCCCGCTGGACTAGTTGGAGTTTCCGAGCAGTCTTCAAAGGCAACCCCACGTAGAGTGCGTTGCAGTAATCCAATCGGGATGTAACAAGAGCGTGGACCACTGTGGCCAGATCCGACTTCCCAAGGTACAGGCGTAACTGGCGCATAAGTTTTAGTAGTGCAAAAGCTCTCCCGGCCACTGCCGAGACCTGGGGTTCCAGGCTCAGCGATGAGTCCAGGATCACTCCCAAGCTGCGAACCTGCGTCTTCAGGGGAAGTGTAACTCCGTCTAACACAGGCTGTAACCCTATGCCCTGTTCGGCCTTACGACTGACCAGTAGGACTCTCCCCAAGGGACTCGGTGTGGCTTACATGAGGCCAAGCCCACAATACAACAGTAAACAATAGCAACAGTAATGCAAAACAATAAATAAACTCATAAGCAAAAAAATAAGCAATAAACATTAAGAATAACACGACGCATTTAAAAACCTATGTCCGGGCCAAATGTAATATTTTTTAAAAAAAATAATGCTGGGCATGACAAGGTGACATGTAACTGGGATAGAAATTTTGGAGAGGGATGAAATGCAATACTGTTATTTTACTATACTAATAATATACATGTGGCCTGCCCACTATTTACTATATCTGTGTTTTTTGTTCAGTGTAATGCTATTTTGTTATTGAATTTTTAAATGTAATTTTGATGATGTTGCTTGTTGTTTATGTTTTGGTTTTATCTTGATGTAATATGTTGTTCGGGCTTGGCCCCATGTAAGCCGTTCCGAGTCCCCATCAGGGAGATGATTGTGGGGTATAAATAAAGATTATTATTATTATTATTATTATTATTATTATTATTATTATTATTATTATTAATATCTTGTAAGCTGCTCTGAATCCCCTTCGGGGTGAGAAGGGTGGCATATAAATGCCGTAAATAAATAAATACTTCAAGTATGTGGTAGGGGCCGCAAAAGTGGGATTCATCGAAAAGCTGTATATGTGGTGAGCTGCTGTGAGTTTTCAGGCTATCTGTTTTAGAAGCATTCTCTCCTGACGTTTCGCCCACATCTCTGGCAGGCATCCTCCGAGGTTGTGAGGTCTGTTGGAAACTAGGCAAGTGAGGTTGATATACCTGTGGAGTAATGTCCAGGGTGGGAGAAAGAACTCTTAATATATATATCATTTTTATTAAGCTTAGAATTTTTATCACAATAAAAACTCCAATGGATGGGGTATAAAGAAGGGATATAGAAAAGTGTGAAAGAAAGAAAAGAAAGTAAGAATATAGCGTGTAAATCAGGGGTCCTCAAACTTTTTAAACAGAGGGCCAGGTCACAGTCCCTCAAACTGTTGGAGGGCTGGATTATAATTTGAAAAAAGCATGAATGAATTTCTTTGCACACTGCACATATCTTATTTGTAGTGCAAAATACACTTAAAAACAATACAAAAATTCATCGTTGAGCCTGGATCTCAGCGGTGACCAGGGGAGCATTTGCACAGCTCAGGCTCATGCGCCAGCTGCGCCCGTATCTTGGGAAGTCTGACTTGGCCACGGTAGTACACGCTCTGGTCACATCCCGCCTTGACTACTGCAACGCTCTCTACGTGGGGCTGCCCTTGAAGACGGCCCGGAAGCTCCAGCTAGTCCAGCGCGGAGCAGCCATGTTACTAACAGGAGCGGGACGCAGGGAGCATACAACGCCCTTGTTGTACCAGCTCCACTGGCTGCCGATCTGCTACCGGGCCCAATTCAAGGTGCTGGTGTTGGCCTACAAAGCCCTAAACGGTTCCGGCCCAAAATACCTGTCTGACCGCATCTCGGCCTATGAGCCCACGAGGACTTTGAGATCTTCCGGGGAGGCCCTTCTCTCGATCCCGCCTGCCGCACAGGCACGCCTGGCGGGGACGAGGGACAGGGCCTTCTCGGTGGTGGCCCCCCGGCTGTGGAACACCCTCCCTGTGGACATCAGACTGGCGCCCTCCCTTATGACATTCCGCAAGAGATTAAAGACGTGGTTGTTTGAGAAGGCGTTTGAGTAAATGCTGTAACATTTGGCAATGACGACTGGAACGGAACATGGATAACGAGATTTGGATTGTGATTCAATGATGAGACGTCGCAAATGATTTAGTGTAATTGTATTATGGATAGTGATGTTGTTTATTGTTGTTGTGATATTGCTTATGTTGTAATTGTTCCTGATTTTATATGTTGTACACCGCCGTGAGTCGCCCTAGGGCTGAGAACGGCGGTCTACAAGTGCAGTAAATAAATAAATAAATAAAAATTAAAATGAAGGACAATTTTAACAAGTATAAACACACTAATATTTCAATGGGAAGTGTGGGCCTGCTTTTGGCTGATGAGATAGGATTGTTGTTGTTTTTGTATGCTTTCAAGTTTTTTCAGACTTAGGTTGACCCTGAGCGAAGGCCGGGTAAATGACCTTGGAGGGCCGTATTCAGCCCCCGGGNATTATTATTATTATTATATATTTTGTGATATAAATTTGTAATAATTATTTATTATATTGTATTATATTCCTTGCTTTTCTCTCCACAAAGGTATCATATATAGAATACACTTTTATGACGTATTCTATACAATATATAAGCAAAAATATATGATACAATATATAATCTATGATATATGATATATATGATAATATAATACATAATAGAATATGATATAGAATCTATAACCTGATATTATATATGATATTATATATGTTATTATATATGATTATATATAATATATAATTATATACAATATATATATATGATTATTATATATGATAATCTTATATCATATATAATTTAATATATAATAGAATATGATGATATATAATCTATAACCTAATTCGATATGTAATATAATATATAAATATATACTATAAAATGTATATCATCTAATATATAACATTATAATATATAATTTATAGCCTTATATGATAATGATATATAATCTAATATATAATGTAATGTATGATAATATATTATATGATAATCATATATTATATGATATATAATCTATTATCTGTGATAATATAATATTATATATTATGTAATATAGTATATACTTCTATATTAAATTATTATATATTTATATACTACAAAATGTATATCATCTAATATTATGATAATATATAATATAATTTATAGCCTTATATTACATGTATTATGTATATTATAATTTATAGCCTTATATTACATGTAATATAATATAATATGACATATACTCTAATATATAATCTAATATATGATAATATATATATAATCTGTGATAATAGAATATCATATATAATCCAATATACGATAATAGAATATGATTATATATTATATATAATGTATGATCAGAGACTGCAATGATATATGATCTAATATACAAGCTAATATATGATATATAATTTCATATATTAATGTTATATAATCTAATACACAACGATATCATATGATGATATATATAATACATAATCTAATAATAGACTAGGAAGAGATGTGTGGGCATCACGGAAGCCTGACCTGCTCGCTGTACCCGAGGAGGGCCCTGCGCGTGCCCTTTGGCCCCAGGAAGCGCTTGACCAGCATGCTCCACCCCAAGGAGAAGTGGAACTCGATGTCCTCCTGGAAGTCGGCGCAGAGCTTGTGGCAGTTGAGGTCGTAGCTGAGCGTGAAGGCGGAGGAGGCGCCCCTCGTCCGGGGCCCCGGGACCCCCTGGGTGCGCAGGGATGGCGGCAACAGCGGGCTCAGGCCCTCTGCGAGGAAAGACGGAAAGGGAAGGAGGAAGTGAGGGCCATGCTTGGAAGAAGAACATATAGGAGGAGGTCCTGGCGATTCGGGGAGAGGCCTACCCATCATTTCCTGCTGCATGGCCTGCAAGGAGGTCGAGACGGGGGCCGAGCAGCGCTCCGAGAGGTTGTGGCTCAGGCCTTCCTCAATGTGCCGGTGCAGCTCCTGCGGGAAGTGGGCACAGCGAGACAATCATCGACATACTGGAATGTGGGATAACAATAGTGATGGTAATAATAATAATAATAATGCAATGTATTACATCCTGGGATAACGATGATAATAATAATGTGATTATAATTTCCTGGGATGATGGTGATAATGTAATGTATTACTTCCTGGGATAATAATGATGGTATAATTATAATTATATTATTATATAATATTGATATTATTATCATCGTCATCGCCATTTCAGGAAGCAATATTTTAATAATAATAATGCAAAATATTGCTTCCTGAAATGGCGATGACAATGATAATATCAATATATTAATGTAATGTATTTTTTCCTGGAATAATAGTAGTAATAATAATTATATGAATTACTTCCAATAATAATAATATGAATTCCAATAGTAATAATAATATGAATTACTTCCAATAGTAATAATAATAATAAGAATTACTTTCAATAATAATAATATGAATTCCAATAATAATAATAAAAAATATGAATTACTTCCGATAATAATAATATGAATTACTTCCAATAATAATATGAATTACTTCCAATAATAATACTAATATGAATTACTTCCAATAACAATATTAATTCCAATAACAAAATGAATTACTTCCAATAATAATAATAATAATAATAATATGAATTACTTCCAATAATAATATGAACTACTTCCAATAATAATAAGAATATGAATTACTTCCAATAATAAGAATATGAATTACTTCCAATAATAATAATATGAACTACTTCCAATAATAAGAATAATATGAATTACTTCCAATAGTAATAATAATAATATGAATTACTTCCAATAATAATATGAATTAATTCCAATAATAATAATATGAATTAATTCCAATAATAATATGAATTACTTCCAATAATAATAATGAATTAATTCCAATAATAATAATAAAAAAATATGAATTACTTCCGATAATAATAATATGAATTACTTCCAATAATAATAATATGAATTACTTCCAATAATAATATGAATTACTTCCAATAATAATACTAATATGAATTACTTCCAATAACAATATTAATTCCAATAACAAAATGAATTACTTCCAATAATAATAATAATAATAATAATAATAATATTAATAATGCAATGTATTACATCCTGGGATAACAATGATGATGATAATAATAATAATATTATAATTTCCTGGGATGATGATGATGATAATAATAATACTGTAATGTATTACTTCCTGGGATAATGATAATAATGTAATATATAGCATAATATATGATGATGATAATAATAATAATAATAATAATAATAATAATAATAATAATGCAAGGTATTACTACCAATAATAATAATATCGATGATGATGCAATTATAATAATTAAAATATATTGTGCGTACGATGACCCCAATGAATTCTGGGGTTTGACTTGGGTCCCCCCTCCGAGGTGCACAACAAAGCCCAAGGTCAGTTTCTCAATCTGATCTTATCAATTGAGAAAACTCCGCGTGGGATCGAGAACTGGCCCGTTTCCCCCTTGAGTGACTCACATTTTTGTACACTTTGATGACGACGGGCGAGGGATGGAAATCCAGCTGGAAGTCGTCGACCAGGACCGAGAGGCGGCGGATCTCTTCCGCCATTGCGTTGGACACCTGGGAGAGGGGCAAGGAACCCCCATAAATAATATTTATTATTTAGTATTTATTATTCACTATTATTGTTTATTATCATACACTGTTTATGTGTGTGTATGTGGGGGGGGGGGGGGGGGGACAAAGACGGCAAGGGAAAGGCCTGCCCCACACGGAGAACCATGGGATGCCCGACCTGCCTCTCGACCTCTTCGGTGAGCTGCTTGATCTTCTGCTTGTAGTTGTGGCTCAGCAGATCCAGCTGTTTGTCGATGAAGCCCAGGCGCTCCTGGCGGTCCTCCCGCAACTCCAGGCAGTAGAGCCTTGGCCCAGAGACATCAGAAGAATTATTATTATTATTTGTTATTATTATTAATTTATTTATGATGATGTGGTGGTGGTGGTGGCCTCACCGCTGCTCCTGGGCGGCCATGTGCACGCAGTCCATGATGCGCCGCACTTCCTCTGCCATCTGCTTGGCCCGGACCGTGTGCTGCTCGAATTTCGTCTTCACCGCCGACTGCGAAATGCATTCCTGAAAGGGAGGCGGGGACAACAGCGGGATCACTAAACCCCTCCCCCTTTTTGCATATTAACGAGCCTGATTTGCATTCTCCAACAAGCCCCTCTTTTTGCATATTTACAAGTCCAATTTGCACTCTCCCCAATAACCCCTTTTTTGCATATTCATAAGCTTCATTTGCATCCTCCCAGACAACAAACTCCTCCCCTTACTGCATATTCATGAGCCTGATTTGCATCTGCCCGATAACCCCTCCCCTTTCTGCATATTCATGAGTCTGATTTGCATCCTCCCAAACAAACCCCTCCCCCCTTTCTGCATATTCATGAGCCTGATTTGCATCTGCCCGATAACAACCCCTTCTTTTTTAATATTGATGAGTCTGATTTGCATCCTCTCAAACTCCTCCCCTTTCTGCATATTCATGAGCCTGATTTGCACCCACCCGATAACAAACCCTTCTCTTTCTGCATATTCATGAGCCTGATTTGGATCCTCCCAAACAAACCCCTCCCCTTTCTGCATATTCATGAGCCTGATTTGCATCTGCCCGATAACCCCTCCCCTTTCTGCATATTCATGAGCCTGATTTGGATCCTCCCAAACAAACCCCTCCCCTTTCTGCATATACACGAGCCTGATTTGCATCTGCCCGATAACAACCCCTCCCCTTTCTGCATATTCATGAGCCTGATTTGGATCCTCCCAAACAAACCCCTCCCCTTTCTGCATATACATGAGCCTGATTTGCACCCGCCCGATAACAACCCCTCCCCTTTCTGCATATTCATGAGCCTGATTTGGATCCTCCCAAACAAACCCCTCCCCTTTCTGCATATTCATGAGCCTGATTTGCATCCGCCCAATAACAACCCCTCCCCTTTCTGCATATTCATGAGCCTGATTTGCATCCGCCCAATAACAACCCCTCCCCTTTCTGCATATTCATGAGCCTGATTTGCATCCGCCCAATAACAACCCCTCCCCTTTCTGCATATTCATGAGCCTGATTTGCATGCTCTCAGACAACAAACCCCTCCCCTTTCTGCATATTCATGAGCCTGATTTGCATCTGCCCGATAACCCCTTCTCTTTTTCCATATTCATGAGTCTGATCTGCATCTTCCCAGAAAACAAACCCCTCCCTTTTCTGCATATTCATGAGCCTGATTTGCATCCGTCCAATAACAACCCCTACTCTTTTTGCATATTCATGAGTCTGATTTGCATCCTCCCAGACAAACCCCTCCCCTTTCTTGAGCCTGATTTGCATCTTCCCCGAAACAAACCCCTCCCCCTTTTGCATATTTATGAGCCCTCTATGCATCCTCTCCAACAACAAACTCCTCCTCTTTTGCATATTCATGAGTCATCTTTGCATCTTCCCCAAACCCTTCCCATTTGCATCCTCAACAACAAACCCCTCCCCTTTTGCGTATTCATGAGCTCGATCTGCATCCTCCTCGACAACAAACCCCTCCCCTTTTGCATATTCATGAGCTTGATCTGCATCCTCCTCGACAACAAACCCCTCCCCTTTTGCATATTCATGAGCTCCATCTGCATCCTCCTCCCCTGGAAACTCGCCTCAAAGCGCCGCTCAAAGTTCTGGAACTCAAACATCCGGCCCTGGAAACCTTCAGCCAGCGCTCCGCCTAAAAGGGATCAGGATAAAGAAGACCATCAAAGCCCTCCCGACAGATGGCCATCATGCCCTGCTTAATAGTAGTAATAACAACAACAGAAGTCTAGAGTTGGAAGGGATTGCTGTCCTTGTTCTATGGAAGCAACGGCTCTTCCCGCTTCGGCTGCTGACCTGCTTCGGGCATGCCTTGGGCCTTCTGGATGCGCGCGGCCAGCGCCTCTTTGGCCGAGACGAAGAAGACGCGGTCAGCGGCCTGCGCCCGGTCCACCAGCCCCAGCTCCTCCGACAGGAAGACGCAGCAGCGCTCCATGTGCTGGCGGCGCACCTGAACGCCAAAGGAGGAGGAGCGTCATCATCATCATCATCATCATCATCACTATTATTGTTATTCCAGGAAGTGATAAATGATTGCATTAAATAATAGTAAATATTAAATAATAATAAGTATTAAAAATAATAAATATTAAATAATAAATAATAAATAATAGTAACTAATAATAAATATTAAACAATAAATAGTACATAATAAATAATAATTTCATAATAATAAATAATAAATATTAAACGATAATAAACTAAATAATAGTGAATAATAAATTTTAAATAATAACTATTACATAATAAACCTTAAATAATAAATATTACATAATAAAACTTAACTAATAAATAATAATTACATAATAAAAAATCTTAACTAATAATAAATTTAAATAATAAATATTACATAATAAATATTAAATGATAATAAACAGTAAATAATAGCGAATAATAATATTATTTAAATAATAAATATTACATAATAAATCTTAATAATAATAAATATTAAATAATAAATATTAAATAATACATCTTAAATAATAATAAATAAGTATTACATAGTAATAAATCTTAACTAATAATACATCTTAAATAATAACAAAACTTAAATAATAAATATTACATAATAATAAATCTTAAGTAATAATACATCTTAAATAATAAATATTACATAATAAAACTTAAATAACAAACAATAAATATTACATAATAATAAATCTTAATAGATCTTAAACAATAAAATGTAAATAAATATTAAATGATAATAAACAGCAAATAATAGTAAATAATAATAAATACTAAATAATAAATATTACATAATAAATCTTAAGTAATAATAAATGTTAAATAATAATAAATCTTAAATAATAATAAATAATAAATATTACATAATAAATCTTAATAATAATATATCTTAAATACTAATAAAAATAAGAAATGGATTATTATGGAATCGGCTATGTTTATATTTTAATGGCTGTATGGTTTATGTTTGTTTTGTGGGAGTCCCTTTGGAGAAAGAGAGAATGGAATATAAATCAAGTTGTATTCTTCTATTTCTTATTGTCACCATGGTTGTTGCTCCTCTTGGAAGCGAGGCCTACCTCCTCCATGTACTCGGGTTCGGAGGCGGAAGCGTCCCACCGGTTGTTGAGGATGAAGAGGTTTGGCCGCGAGAGGCGGGCGTTGACCTTGTGGAAGAACTGCTTCTCCTGGGGCGGGGGGAGGGGGGGTGAGGAAAAGTCAGGGGTCAAGCCCTCAACCTTTGACACCCCCCCTCGAGGAGGGAGGAAAGGAGGGGGCCGCTGACCGTCTGCATGAGGGTGGACTCGGCGTTGGCCACCAGGACAAAGACGTCGGCGTCCAAGCAATACTTGTCGATCCAGCTGTCCAGTTCGGTGGTCACGTCAATCCCAGGACTGAGAGAAAGGGAGAGAGAGAGAGGTCATGGGTCCCGGAAGGAAGAAAGGGAAAACGGCTTGCGTTGTGTGGGGGGCGGGGAAGGAGGGATTCCCTCCTACATGTGGGAATGGTATGATGCGTGTCAAAACGCGTGTCAGCCCCACCCAGCCCTTTAGGGATCTCCCTAGGTGTCCCATTGAGAAAATTATTGATAGGGTAGACAGTTATATAGTTGAGATTGAGCCACTGAATCCTAGAAAAGAGTGGGACTCCCAAAGGCCATCTAGTCGAACCCTTGGATGGGTGGATAGATAGATAGATAGATAGATAGATAGATAGATAGATAGATAGATAGATAGATGATGGATGGATGGACGAACACATGGATACATGGCTAGATGGATGGATACACAAATAGGTAGATAGATGGACGGACATACAGTTGGATGGATGATGGATACATAGATAAATGGGTGGATGGATTGATTGATTGACAGATACATGGATGGATGGATTGATGGACAGAGACATGGATGGATGGATTGATGGACAGATACATGGATGGATGATGGATACATGGATGGATGGATTGATGGACAGATACATGGATGGATGGACGGACGGATGGAAGGATACATGGATGGACGGACAGATACATGGATGGATGGATGGACAGATACATGGATGGATGGACAGATGGATGGATGGATACATGGATACATGGATAGATGGATGGATTGACGGACAGATACATGGATGCATGGATGCATGGATGGAATGGATGGATGGATGGACAGATACATGGATGGATGGATGGATGGATAGATGGATGGATGGATGGATTGATGGACAGATACATGGATGGATGGATACATGGATAGATGGATGGATGGACAGATACATGGATGGATGGATGGATACATGGATAGATGGATTGATGGACAGATACATGGGTGGATGGATGGGTAAATGGATGGACATATACATGGGTGGATGGATGGACAGGCAGATGGACACATGATACATGGCTAGATGGCTGGATGGGTGGATGGACAGATACAAAGATATGTAGATAGATAAGTAGAACATACGGTTGGATGGATGATGAATGGACAGATGGATTCATGGATGGATTGATGGACAGACATATACATGGATGGATAGATGGGTGGGTAGGTGGATGCACGGACAGATAAGTAGATAGATAGTTAGGCAGATGGATAGACATATGGATGGATGAATGGACGGGTGGGCAGGCAGGCAAACAGACACATGGACAGAGAGATGGACAGCTACATGGATATAGAAGGAAGCAAGGAAGAAAAAGAGAAGGAAGGAAGGAAAAGAGAAAGGGCTCGATCCGAGGACTGGGAGAGAGAATGCCCAGCTAGAGAGGCCACGTACGCCCGCTCGGCCCTTTAAGAATCTGGGGGACGGAGGACTTCTAAGGTCCAGATTGGGTGGAAATGGGAGCGGGGTGGGGCTGACCTGTCCATCAGCACCAGGTCGTCCTTGAGGAGGGGGCACTTGGAGTTGGGCCACATGACGCTGACCAGTCCGCCAGACGCCAGGCGCTCATCCTGGTGCAAGGCGTGTGCCAGCTGGTTGACCGTCTGGACAAAGGAAGGAAAGGAGAGAGGTCAGGGAGGGGAACCTATAATAATAATAATAACAATAATAATAATAATAATAATAATAATAATAATAATAATAATAGAGTTGGAAGAGACCACATGGGCAATCCAATACTATAATAAAATAATATAAATAAATTAATAATAGATAATAATAATAATAATAATAGAGTAAAATAATAAATGTAATAATAATAAAAATAATAAAGCTAACCTATAAATAGTAATAATAATAATAATAATAATAATAATAATAATAATAATAATAATATATGGCAGTTTTGACCATCAAATGAATCTGTGGCATATTAATAATAATAATACTAACTAATAATAATAGTCACAATAGTAATAGTAATAATAATAATAATAATAATAATAATAATAAATGGCAGTTTTGACCATCAAATGAATCTCAGTGGCATATTAATAATAATAATACTAACTAATAATAATAGTCACAATTGTAATAGTAATAATAATAATAATAATAATAATAATAATAATAATAATAATAATAAATGGCAGTTTTGACCATCAAATGAATCTGTGGCATATTAATAATAATAATACTAACTAATAATAATAGTCACAATTGTAATAGTAATAATAGTAATAATAATAATAATAATAATAATAATAATAATATATGGCAGTTTTGACCATCAAATGAATCTCAGTGGCATATGAATAATAATAATAATAATAATAATAACTAACAATAATTGTCATAATTGTAATAATAATAATAATAATAATCCGCTTGGCTTCAAGCGAAGGGCAAGGAAGAGGGAAGGCGCACCTTGACGCTCTTGCGCTCCTCGGAGCCTTCGGTCAAGAGGAAGGCGTCCTGCCCTTCGGTGCCCTCGACCCGCAGGAAGCAGTTGGTGGTGTGGCCGATGCCGGACGGCAGGACCTTGTCCCAGAGCATGGCGTTGATGACGGTGCTCTTCCCGTTGCTGGTCCTGCAAGGGAGGAGGGGCACCGCGGGCGGGGGTGAGCCAATGGGACCCCGGCACCGAGCCCCCCACCCGCCCATGAGACGCCCACTTGCACGAAGCCCGGGACTCACCGCCCGAAGAAGGCCACCTTCATGTGCCGCCGGGCCACGACCTCGCTGATGCCGCTGACCTTCGAGAGGTATCCTTTGACCTCCAGCACCTGCTCCTCCGTCGTGACCGGGTCCAGCTCCACATCCCGGTGCGTCTCTGGAATAATAGTAATAATAATAATAATAATAATAATAATAATAATAAGTAGCAAAAAATAGTAAAAAATAATAAATAGTACATAATAATAATAAATAGTACATAATAATAAATATTAAATAATGATAATAAATAGTAAATAATAAGTAGTAAATAAATAGTAAGTAATAAATAGTAAGTAACAGTAAATATTAAATAATAATACATTATAAATAATAGTAAATATTAAATAATAATAAATATGAAATAGTAAATAACAATAGTAAATAATACATAATATTTAATAATAAATCTTAAATAATAAATAGTAAATAATAAATAGAAAAATAATTACATAAATACTAACAAATAAATATTAAATAATCATCAACAGTAAAGAATAAATCTTAATAATAATAGTAAATATTAAATAGCTATAAATATTAATAATAAATAGAAAAAGTAATTACATAATAATAAATCTTAATAAACAGTAAAAAATAAATATTAAATAACCATCAGTAGTAATAATAAATCTTAAATAATAATCATATTAAATATTAAATAGCAATAATAAATAGCAAAAAATAATAAATTTTAAATAATAATAAATATTACAAAATAATAGTAAATAGTGTTAATTCATAATAAATCATAAAGAATAATAAATCTTAAATAACAATAAATAGCAAATAATATTTAATATTAAATAATAGTAAATAGTAAAGAATAATAAATATTAAATAATAATAATAGTAAATCAATATTAAATAGTAATAATAAATAGTTAACATTAAATATTAAATAATAATATTAAATAATAGTAAATAGTAAAGAATAATAAATATTAAATAATAATAGTAGATAAATATTAAATAGCAATAATAAATATTAAATAATAATAATAGTAAATCAATATTAAATAGTAATAATAAATAGTTAATATTAAATATTAAATAATATTAAATAATAGTAAATAGTAAAGAATAATAAATATTAAATAATAATAGTAGATAAATATTAAATAGCAATAATAAATAGTAAATAATAATAATAATGAATAAAGTAATGGGATAACGGGATGCCGTACCCTCGAGGAAGGCGGCGCTCTCCTGGACGTAGGCGGCCAGCTGCTCGAAGATGCCGCTGACCTTCTTCTTGGCGGTCACAAAGTGCTTGAGCGGAGAGGCAGCGGCGGCCGCCATCTTGCTGTGGCGCTGCTCCTTCTTGGTCCCAAACAGGAAGGAGGAAGAGCGACAGGAAGGCAACAGGGACATCGCGCTGGAAGGACACCGTCCAGGTAGATCAATAATAATAATAATAATTTTATTTCCTCTCCCGGCATTTTTCTATGACCAGCCTCATTTTATGTTATTTATTATTATTATTATTATTATTATTATTATTATTATTATTATTATTATGTATATAAGGGCCACCCAGTCTCTATTTTGCTGATAGATGGCCATCCAAGCTCTAATATATTATAATATAATATATAATTGTATACAATATATATTAGAGTAATACTATAATATATAAGATCCAAAGTCGCTTTCTCTGCGCCGGCCCTTTAAGAGACGATGGCAATCCTTTTCAATCCAATTCCCATTAATCCAATTAGCAAAGAATTAGCTCAGAGACAAACTGCAAATTATATTATTATTATTATTATTTTGAGATTAGATTTGGGAATTAATTCATCTCTGAGCTAATGCTCAGAAATGAATTAATTCCCAAATCTAATCCCATAATAATAATAATAATAATAATAATAATAATAATAATAATAATAAATTGGGGGTTAAATTTACAGTATTTTAGAGTTCAATTTGCCAAACTTTGGGGTTGGATTTGGAACCTATTTATGATGGGGCCTGAATGTACATTTGGGAACGTTGTCATAATATAATACAATACAATACAATATAATATTAATCCCTTTGGGTTGTAATTATATATAATATAATAGTATAATAATATAATATAATCCCTTTGGGTTGTAATAATATTTATAATATAACAGTATAATATAATAATAATATAATACAATAATAATATAAAATAGTCCCTTTGGGTTTTAAGAATATATACAATATAATAGTACAATATAATATTAATATAATAGTATATTAAAATTATATTAATAATAATAATATTAATCCCTTTGGGTTGTAATAATATAATATACTAATATATTTGGATTATAATAATATAATATGATATGATATAATATAATATAAGAGTGTAACATAATGAAATAATAATATATAGTCACTTTGGGTTGTAATAATATATATAATATAAAAGTATAATTTAATATAATAATATAATCCCTTTGGGTTATAAAAATATAATAATAATAATAATAATATAAAATAATCCTTTTGAGTTGTAATAATACATATTATATAACAGTATAATATAATATAATATAATACAATAATATAAAATAATCCCTTTGGGTTTTAATAACATAATATACTAATATATTTGGATTATAATAATATAATATAATAATAAAACACTATAATATAATAATAATAATAATAATAATAATAATAATAATAATAATGTAAAATAATCCCTTTGAGTTGTAATAATACATATAATATAACAGTATAATATAATAACATAATATAATACAATAATATAAAATAATCCCTTTGGGTTTTAATAATATATATAGTAATAATATTAATATAATAGTATAGTATAGTATAATAAAATAATAATAATAATAATAATAATTCCTTTGGGTTGTAACAATATAATATACTAATATATTTGGATTATAATAATATAATATAATACAATATAATAGTATAGTATAATATAATGAAATAATAATATAATCCCTTTGGGTTATAATAATATAACAATAATAATAATATATAATATATAATAACCCCTTTGGGTTGTAATAATAAATATAATATAACAGTATAATATAATATAATATCATAAAAATATAATACAATAATAAAATAATCCCTTTGGGTTTTAACAATATATGTAATAGTATAATATTAATATAATAGTATAGTACAGTATAAAATAATAATAATAATAATAATAATAATAATAATACATTCCTTTGGGTTGTAATAATATAGTATACTAATATGTTTGGATTATAATAATATAAGAGTATGATATAATACAATAATAATATAAAATAATCCCTTTGGGTTTTAATAATATATATAATAGTATAATATAATATTTATATAATAGTATAGTATATTAAAATAATAATAATAATAATAATAATAATAATAATAATAATATAATCCCTTTGGTCAGTTCTTGTGGGTTTTTTCGGGCTATATGGCCATGTTCTAGAGGCATTTCTCCTGATGTTTCGCCTGCATCTATGGCAAGCATCCTCAGAGGTGAGGTCTGCTAGAACTGGGGAAAAAGGGGGTTTATATATCTGTGGAATGACCAGGGTGAGACACAAAGGGCTTTTGTAAGTTGGGCTAGGTGTGATTCTTTCAACTGACCACCTTGATTAGCATACAATGGGCTGACTGTGCCTGGAGCAAACTCTTCTTGAAAGGTGATTAGATGTCCCTGCCTGTTTTTCTCTCTGCTGTTTTTGCTGTTGCAATTTTAGAGTTTTTTAATACTGGTAGCCAGATTTTGTTCATTTTCATGATTTCCTCCTTTCTGTTGAAATTGTCCACATGCTTGTGTATTTCAATGGCTTCTCTGTGTAGTCTGACATGGTGGTTGTTGTGTGGTCCAGCATTTCTGTGTTCTCAAATAATATGCTGTGTCCAGGTTGGTTCATCAGGTGCTCTGCTATGGCTGACTTCTCTGGTTGAAGTAGTCTGCAGTGCCTTTCATGTTCCTTGATTCGTGTCTGGGCAATGCTGCGTTTGGTGGTCCCTATGTAGACTTGTCCACAGCTGCATGGGATACAATGGTAGACTCCTGCAGAAGTGAGAGGATCCCTCTTGTCCTTTGCTGAACGTAGCATTTGTTGGATTTTCTTGGTGGGTTTGTAGATTGTTTGTATGTTGTGTTTCCTCATCAGCTTCCCTATGCGGTCAGTGGTTCCCTTGATGTATGGCAGGAACACTTTTCCTCTGGGTGGATCTTCATCTTGACTCTCGTGGCTTGTTCTTGGTCTTGCAGCTCTTCTGATGCCTGAGGTGGAGTCTCCATTGGCCTGGAGAGCCCAGTTGAGGTGGTTCAGTTCATCTTGGAGGAGGTGGGCTTCGCAGATTCTTTTTGCACGGTCTGCCAAGGCTTTAATGGTGCTTCTTTTGACTTGGGTGATGGTTGGAGTTTTTATGTAGATATCTCTCTGTGTGTGTGGGTTTTCTGTAAACGGTGTAACCCAATTGTGAATGAAAGGCACGGCAGACTACTCCAACCAGAGAAATCAGCCATAGCAGAGCACCTGATGAACCAACCTGGACACAGCATTTTATTTGAGAACACAAAAATGCTGGACCACTCTCACAACCACCATGTCAGGCTACACAGAGAAGCCATTGAAATCCACAAGCATGTGGACAATTTCAACAGAAAGGAAGAAACCATGAAAATGAACAAAATCTGGCTACCAGTATTAAAAAACTCTAAAATTGCAACAGCAAAAACAGCAGAGAGAAAAACAGGCAGGGACATCTAATCACCCTTCAAGAAGAGTTTGCCCCAGGCACAGTCAGCCCATTGTATGCTAATCAAGGTGGTCAGTTGAAAGATCCACACCTAGCCCAACTTACAAAAGCCCTTTGTCTCACCCTGGTCATTCCACAGATATATAAACCTTTTTTACTTCCAACAGACCTCACTACCTCTGAGGATGCTTGCCATAGATGCAGGCGAAACGTCAGGAGAAATGCCTCTAGAACATGGCCATATAGCCCGAAAAAACCCACAAGAACCTAGTGATTCCAGCCATGAAAGCCTTCAACAATACATTAATCCCTTTGGGTTGTAATAATATAATAATATAATATACTAATATATCTGGATTATAATAATATAATATGATATGATAATATATGATATGATATAACCCTTTGGGTTATAATAATATATATAATATAAAAGTATTTAATATAATAATATAATATAATAATAATATAAAACAATCCCTTTGGGTTACAATAGTATAATATAATAAAAGAATAATATAATATAATCCCTTTGGGTTGTAATAATATAATATACTAATATGTTATAATAATATAGTATAATAATTATAATAATAATCCCTTTGGCTATAATAATATAATATCTTGGGTTTATAACAAGATATAATAATATAAAATAATCCCTTTGGGTTATAGTAGTATAATATAATAATAATAATAATATAATCCCTTTGGGTTGTAATAATATAATATACTAATATATCTGGATTATAATAATATAATATAATAATATAGTATAATGAAATAATAATATAATCCCTTTGGGTTGTAATAATAAGCATAATATAATATAATAATATAAAACAATCCCTTTGGGTTATAGTAGTATAATATAATATAATAATAATATAATCCCTTTTGGGTTGTAATAATGTAATATATTTGGATTATAATAATATAATATAGTATAATAATAATAATAATAATAATAATCCCTTTGGCTATAATAATATAATATCTTGGGTTTATAACAAGCTACAATAATAATATAATATAATACAAAATGATATAATGGCACTAATTGGGGACACAATCATAATAATCATCACAATATAGGAAGAACTACCCAGGCGCCCTTCTGCCTCTCTTGCTCACCTCTGTCGCCTTCCTTCTCTCTGCGCATGCGCCCACGCCACTCCCAGAAGGAACCCAGCCCCGGGAGGTGACGTCACGGAGGAGGAGGAGGCGCAGGGAGGAGACGTCTCTAGGAAGCGACGCCCAGAGCACCATGGGAGTTGTAGTTTAAGGACCAGATTTCCTTTTCTTTCTGCCCAAGAAGCCATGGAAGAGCCTTGGAAGAGCCTTTGAACTCTTCCTCCCAGGATATAATATAATATAATATAATATAATATAATATAATATAATATAATATAATATAATATAATATAATATAATATAATATAATATAATATAATATAATATAATATAATATAATATAATATAATAAATATAAATAATATAATAAATATAAAATAATATAATAAATATAAAATAAAATAAAATATAAAATAATATAATAAAAATATAATATAATAAATATAATATAATATAATATATTGTATTAATATAAAAAATATATTTATTAATATAAATAATATATTATATTATTATATTACTGTTATATTAATATATCAATATAATATATTATATTATAATATAATAATATTATATTGATATATTAATATATAGTAATATATCTATATTAATACATATCAATATCAATATAATATTTTATTAATATATAGAATATAATATAATATAAATAAATATATAATAATAATATAATAAATAAAATAAAATAATATAATATAATATATATATATATATAATATAATATAATATAATATAATATAATATAATATAATATAATATAATAAAATATAATATAATATAATATAATATAATATAATATAATATAATATAATAATATAATACAATATTATATTGATATATTAATATAACAGTAATATAATAATAATAATCCTCCCAGGATATAATATAATATTGATATATTAATATAATAGTAATGTATTTGTTATATTAATACAATATCAATATCAATATAATACTTTTATGTAATATTACTAGAATATAATATAATATAAATAGAATATATAATAAATAATAAAATAAATAAAATAAAATAAAAAATAAAATAAATATATTAATATGTTGAATATTAATATGTTTCTATTAAGATAATATAATATAAAATATTATATTATCAATATAATATATTATAATATAATACAATATTATATTGATATATTAATATAACAGTAATATAATAATAATAATCCTCCCAGGATATAATATAATATTGATATATTAATATAATAGTAATGTATTTGTTATATTAATACAATATCAATATCAATATAATACTTTTATGTAATATTACTAGAATATAATATAATATAAATAGAATATATAATAAATAATAAAATAAATAAAATAAAATAAAAAATAAAATAAATATATTAATATGTTGAATATTAATATGTTTCTATTAAGATAATATAATATAAAATATTATATTGTTACACTAGAATAGAATATTGATATGTGAATAGGATATAATATTTCAATATAAATATTAATATGATATTTATTTATTTATTTATTTGCCTTACTTATATACCGCTGTTCTCAGCCCGAAGGCGACTCACAGCGGTTCACAACAAATAAGAACAGCAAAAATTCAGTGCTACAGTATAGAAACAGTTAACAACCTAACACATTACACAATTAATAAACAGTTACTACAATACCCATTCACTGTCGTCTCGTCATCAAAAACATGTTCCAGATTCGTCATCCATTGTTCCATTCCAGTGTTCATTAACCAATCATTGCACTAATTATTCGAACGCCTGCTCAAACAGCCAAGTCTTCACTTTTTTGCGGAATACCATTAGAGATGGTGCTAGTCTAATGTCCGTAGGAAGGGCGTTCCACAGCTGAGGAGCCACCACCGAGAAGGCCCTATCTCTCGTCCCCGCCAGCCGAGCTTGAGAAGCAGGCGGGATCGAGAGCAGGGTCTCCCCGGAAGATCTCAAAGTCCTGGTGGGTTCATAGGCAGAGATGCGGTCAGATAGGTAGCTTGGGCCGGAACCGTTTAGGGCTTTAAAGGCCAACGCCAGCACTTTGAATTGCCCGGTAGCAGATCGGTAGCCAGTGGAGTTGGCGCAACAGGGGGGTTGTATGCTCCCTGCGCTCCGCTCCTGTTAAAATCATGGCTGCCGAGCGTTGGACTAGTTGGAGCTTCCGAGCCGTCTTCAAAGGCAACCCCACGTAGAGAGCGTTGCAGTAGGCTAAACGGGATGTAACCAGAGCGTGGACTACCGTGGCCAAGTCAGACTTCCCAATATAATATATAATCCTTAACTAAAAACTTGTATTTAAATATTAATATTATAATAATTAATATTATATATTAATGATTAATGTTATAATATATACATTTATTACACAAATATATAATGTAATAAATATAATCAATATATATTATATTTATTAGTTATATATATTTATTATAGAAATAAAATATATTTATATAATTAATACATATATAAAATGTTTTAATATTATATTAATATTTCATATTATATAATAATAAATATGTTATAATATATATATAAATTTATTACACACATAAATATATAATGTAATAAATTTAATAAATATATATTTATAAATATATTTATTATAGAAATATAATAAATATAAATACATATATATTTAAATATTAATATTATATTAATATTTAATATGCTATAATATTAATAATTAATATGTGTTTCCTATATATAATAAATTTATTACACAAGTAATATAATCTAATAAATATAATAAATATATATTTTAGTTATATATATTTATTATAGAAATATAATTAATATATTTATATAATTAATACATATATATTTATAATATATATTTATATTTATTATGTAAATATAATAAATAGAATGTAATATAATATATTAAAGAATATAATATATTATAATGTAAAATTCATATGGTCCAATCCACTCCACAATACATAAAATAATAATGAAATTAGAAGAGAAACATAATAAAATAAAATATGGATAATGAATTGCAATCCGCCCCAATAAACACCCTCCAGACATCCAGTGTTTTTTTTAAATAAAAAGTTTTAATTTTTTTGTAAAAAGGAATCTTTGCACACTTTGAAAAATGATGGTTTGCTCTCGAAAAATAAATATAAGTCGCTCTCGGTAAAACTACAAAAAGGCAGATTCGGGACATAATTCCAATGGGTGCGAACTTTTTTGGCATTTCATCTCAGATTTTAATGCTTTCCTCCTTTTGTCCAGATAGAGGCAGGGGAAGAGAAATCGGAAGAGGAAGAGGAAGTGGAGGCAGAGGCGGAAGTGGAAAAGGAGTGGAGGCAGAAGACGAAGTGGAGGTGGAAGAGGAAGTGGAAGAGGAACCGGAAGAGGAAGTGGACATGGAGGAGGAAGTGGAGCCAGAAGAGGAAGTGGGAGTTGAGGAGGAAGTAGAAAAGGAAGCAGAAGAGAAAGAGGAAGTGGAAGTGGAGGAAGAAGAGGAAGTGAAGTGGGAGTTGAGGAGGAAGAGGAAGCAGAAGAGGAAGTGGGAGTTGACATAGAAGAGGAAGCAGAAGAGAAAGTGGAGGCAGTGGAAGAGGAAGTAGAGGCAGAAGAGGAAATGGAGGCATAAGTAGATGTTGAGGAAGTGGAAGAGGAAGCAGAAGAGCAAGTGGACATGAAGGCGGAAGAGGAAGTGGAGGCAGAAGAGGAAGTGGGAGTTGAGGAAGTGGAAGAGGAAGCAGAGGAGAAAGAGAAAGTGGAGGCAAAAGGGGAAGTGGGAGTTGAGGAAGTGGAAGAGGAAGCTGAAGACAAAGATGAAGTGGAGGCAGAAGAGGAAGTGAAGTGGGAGTTGAGGAGGAAGTAGAAGAGGAAGCAAAAGAGGAAGTGGAGGCAGAAGAGGAAGTGGGAGTTGACATAGAAGAGGAAGAAGAACAGAAAGTGGAGGCAGTGGAAGAGTGGAGGCAGAAGAGGAAGTGAAGTGGGAGTTGAGGAGGAAGTGGAAGAGGAAGCAGAAGAGGAAGTGGACATGAAGGCAGAAGAGGAAGTGATAGTTGAGGAAGTGGAAGAGGAAGCAGAAAAGAGGAAGTGGAGGCAGAAGGGGAAGTGGGAGTTGAGGAGGAAGCGGAAGAGGAAGCAGAAGAGGAAGTGAAGTGGGAGTTGAGGAGGAAGTGGAAGAGGAAGCAGAAGAGGAAATGGAGGCAGAAATGGAAGTTGAGGAAGTGGAAGAGGAAGCAGAAGAGAAAGTGGAGGCAGAAGAGGAAATGGAGGTGGTAGTGGAAGTTGAGGCGGAAGTGGAAGAGGAAGTGTGGTCCCCTATGGGTCGAGGAAGGAGACGGCGATGTATCGCGTGCCCTGGGTGGTGGGCAGCCCCTCGTGGTAGTGGGTCAGGCGCCCCGGGTGCAGGAGCGTCCACCCCTTCCTGGGAGCCCGGATCGAGCAGTTGTAGCGCAGGAAGCGGCAGCCACCCCCCTGGACAGACACACACAAAACACACGTTAGTTCAGGCAGCACAAGCACCATCTAACCCCTCCCGACAGATGGCCACCCAGTCTCCCTTTCGGTGAAGGCCCACCTCGTAGTCGATCCCGACGCGGTTGAGGGCGATGTTGATGGTGAAGGTGGAGGCGTCGTGGTGCGGCATCAGCGAGGGCTGCTCGTCTGGCTTGTAGCGCACCACGAAGGCCAGCTCAAACTGGGTCTCCACGGGCAGAGGGAGGAAGAGCGGGGAGATCTTAACATGGCTAGGATTTCTCCCCAGCTAACTATTATTGTTGTGGTTGTGGCACTGATTTGTGCCCACCCGCAGCCTGTACCTTGGTGTAGTAGCCGGGGTAGAGCTTCTCGGTGATGGGCGCGATGTAGTCCAGGAGGAAGCGGTACCAGTGGCGCTCAAAGTGGATCTGGTTCATGTGGATGTCGATGGTGGGCACGTTCTCGTAGCCCCCCAGGATGCGGCTGTCCTGGAGGAAAACGGCACCAAATGCAGGCAAGTCCCATCAGGGGAGCCCAGAGGGTGGTGCGGCAGCACAAAAAGGCCAAGACCATGCTCGTTGAGGGTCCAGATCTGAGGTACCCTCCCTGCGGACACTAAGCCGGATGGGATCCAGCTCTCCTTCTATCT